CGGGCCGGGCGGGAGGCCGCTGTCCAGCCCCGCAGCTCCTCACCTCCTCCAGCGCCGTCTAGTGACCCGAGGAAGGCGGGCTGGGGTGAGGGGGCCAAGGCACCTCCTGGGGCTGAGAGTGAGCCACGAGGAGAGCCGAGTGCGCGGAAGGCGCAAGCCCGCGGGATGGGGGGATGCTTTCACGCCATGGTTGCTCTCCTTCTGGGCCATAAACTCGTGTTATCGCACTCATTTTCCCCCTTGTGAGACCGAGAGTCCTTAAAGACTCGTGCAGTTTCCAAAGTAGCAGAAGTTGGTGCAGAAAGCAGGAAGCAAGGGCCTATGGTTAAAGGTGCATTGTGAGGTGGAGCACTAGCACCAGTTACCTCAAACTCGTGGCATGACTTTTGACCAGGCATTTAGGCTTTTATTTTCGGACAGCTTTGTAGCATCTGGCTAATTCGTGCTGTGCGTTTCCAGGTTGCCTGGGATGGCCTGAAATACTGTCACGAGAGGTGCTGAAGAAAGTTTTGAGAGAATCTTGCTGGTTTACTAAGGTAAGTTTCCCATGGAAGAAATGAGGAAGATTCCCATCACAGAATCCCTTTTAGGATGGGGACACAGTAGACGATCTATCTGAAATTAAGTAACTGTAGAAGAGGTTATGGTGCAGATGAGCAGAGTAAATCCTAACACATAACCAACTTGCTGGTCCTGGGAGTCTTATCAAATTCAGGAATGAAGCAGCCAAATCACTAGTAAGTAGTGTTGTTCTTACTCAAACATTTCCTTGATACCTGAAGACTGCATGCTGGCAAATTTGATGCCAGACTTTTAAAAAGGGTTTGAATGGAGTTCTGGGGAACTACAGGCCTGTAAACCTGATGGTTTTTTGGGGTAAATTAGTAGAAATAATAACAGAACATAAAATTACTAGATGCTGGGAGAAATACAAGCTGCTCAGTCAACATGGCTTCTGCAAAAAGAAGTTCTGCCTTAAAAACCTCCTGGGGTTCTATGGATGCTTGAGAAGACATGAAGATTATGATAATATAGTTGATATAGTCTGCTTGAATTTCCAAAAGCCTTTGTAAGGAAATGTTATGAATAGAAAAATGAAAGAAGGAATGTGCTGATATGGATAAGAAACAAAGGTAGAAATAAATGGTCAGTTCTTTCAATAAGGAAGGCCACCACCAGAGATCCACATTAGTTTGCACTGTATAACTTTCATAAATGACTCAGAAGTATTGTAAGTAATCAGTAAATGGCAAAATTTGCTGATTGGATGAAGTTATCCAAAGCAGCAAGGACACAAGCAGAGTATAAACTTGCAGAAGAACATTATAAGACTGAATGATTGAGCAATTACATGGCAGTTGAAATTTAATGCTGATAAATGTCAAGTGTGGCATAGAGGTGAAATACATTCTTAGTTTCATATATAAAATTATGGGCTCTGGGGTGATTAGTACCACTCAGGATTGAGACCCTGAGGTTATAACAGTTCCATGAAAAAATCAGCTTTATGCGCGGCAGCAGCCAGTAAAACAAGTCAAGTATTAGGAATGATTGGGGAAGGAATAAAGAACAGCAAGAGGACATCATTATGCCATTGCATAAATCCATGGTTTGCGACAGCTTGAGTGCGGTTGTGCGATTCTGGCCTCTACTTCTCAGAAAAGATGTACTAGAGTTAGAAAGGGCTCAGGGACCAAAAGTATGGAACAGCTTCTATATGAGCCATGAGAAGGTAGGCTGGAAAGGGGAAGAGGGATAACTTGGTGAGGAAGGTTAAATGCTGCATGCCACAATCCATCTCCTGAAGCAGTTGGATATGTGACCAAAGGTGCCCTGAGCCCAGCGGTCTTCCAGGAGCTGGAGTTCATCACGCTTCTCTCAAAACGTGCTGCAAAGGGATAGAATGCCAAGATCCTTTTCACCTCCGACTCTCCTGCTCCAGCTACTCTGTCATACCGATCCCTGCCATGCAAAAGAGACTCTGGGACTCTGACTGCCAAGACACGTCTGCTGTTAAAGCTATGCTCTTGGCCCAGTGGGCTGTAGGTGTTAATATTAACAACTGCTCCCTCCACATGGACAGAGATGGGTAGCAGGCCACGTGGCACAAGTTCAGCAAATCCCAAATCAGCCCCTTTGAGCAAAGGTCTAGGCAGGACAGAGTCAGCAGTCTACCAGATACATTAGTGACGTGAGGTGACTGTCTTCTAGTTAGGCTTCCTGGCTGGATTGCTGTGAAATCTCCTGCAGCAACATGATAGTGTTCTCCCCTTCCCAAAGACTGAAGAGTACCTGGCCCTTATGAGGACTCACCTGGCAGCTCCCAGTGTGGAGAAGGTTGTTTCATTAGGTGTTTCATTAGGTGAAGTTAGTGGCCCTGTGGCCAGGGACAGTGCTGCCCCTGATACGGGTGGTGCTACACAGCAAATAGTTCTCACCAATGGCAGGGATAGGGGTGTAGAAACTGTGGCCCTGCTGAGACAGGACAGTGTACCTTCCTCTCCTTCAGTGAGGACCGCAAAGACCTCAGAGTGAGGTCAGCATCCCCCTGCTCTTCGAGGACTGGCTGTACCTTCTTTCTAAAGCATTAAATCTCTTACAGGCAGCAAAGCAGCTCTTCCCTGTTCATCATCCTGGCTGAGGTGTCCACTCCTTCTTAGCACCTTTATAGCCTTTAGATTGAGGCATTTCTGTGTCACTCCTTGTTCAGCACTGCCTGCATGCCACGGACTGCCATGCATCCCTGATGCAGATAGGCACCAGATGGGTACCCCCAAAGGAGGGAGAGTGATAATACTAGAAGGCTTCAAAGGACCTCAGCAATGCTGTAATGGAGAGGTTGCACAGACACTGCAGACTTGGGCAAGGGGACAGAAGTTGGCCATGGCTGTATCAGTAGCTGCACTCAGGCAGGAGTATAGTTGATATCCATGATCTGACCTCTGGTGGGTATGTACTCCCCTCTCCCCCACCCCCAGATACTCCAGAGGTGATGATACCCTCAAGGTACAACCCAAGGATGATGTCTAATGCAGGCGGGCATGTGGCAGATAAGCGAGTCACCATTTCCTCTGAGGAACATGCTCAGGAAGAGAGGAGGAGGAACAGGAAGGGGTGTTGAGTGTATCCCCAGATCAAGGGCCGGTGGCAAGGACAAGGAGTCATAAATCTTGAAAACAGCAACCAGACCCCTGACTGCACCAAAAGATTCCTCCCCAGCAGCCAGGGGGATGATACTGGAGAAACCAAGGGCATGATGGTGAGGGAGACCGTCTGTGAGGTGTTGATCTGTAGGTCTTGTTGAAGAGGTGGACAGTGGTCTAGG